TAGTGTGCTAGTGTACTAGTTATAAATGTGTATACAAATTTTGAAGTCAATCAAATAGTTGGATCAAAGTGTGTGAAGGTTTTTGTAGATTGAAGTTTCAAAAATTGGAGTTTGAAGGTTGGTGAGTGTTTCTAAGATCTTTAGCAATGTGTCAATTATATCAAAAAAAATTATATGGATAATAGACTTAATTTTTAACATTTAAGTGAAATTTGAAAAAAAATTAATAGTTCAAAAAAGAGGTATTGATGTTGGAAGTTCAACATTTAGGTTGGAAAAAGAAGCCGCCTAATATCCAATTGGATTACCTTGTATTTCTCTTAATTAGTAAGTGTCATCAATTTCATCTTTCTTGTGCTTATTTTTAACTAAGATATTAAGAATTGTTCAAATTTTAAATTGATATTAACAATTCGATCATTCATTATTGAGGTTCCAATTTGCTATAGAATTTGGTTCAAGGTTTGTCTAAGATTTAGTTAGGGCTTAGGATTTGGTCTAAGATTTAGTTAGGGCTTAGGATTTGGTCTAAGATTTGGTTAGGATTCAGAGTTTGCTTGGAATTTAGTTTAGAACTTGAGTAAGAATTGATTAGAGCTTATCTAGGATTTGTTTAGAATTTAAGGTTTTATTAGGATTTCATTAGGATTTGACATAGGATTTGGTTAAGATTCAATTAGAATTTCAATTAAAGTTTGACCCAAGGTTTGATTAAGGTTCAATTAAGATTATATTAAATTTTTATTTTTAATATTTCTTTAAGATTCTTTATTGTTTCTTTAAAGGTTTCTATTTTTATTAATTTTAAAATATTTTTTATTATTTTTCTTTAGAATTAGTTTGGAATTTCTTTGTCTTTCTTTTATAACTTCTTTTAAATTTATTTTGGATTGATCAAAGTTCGAACAAGGTTATTAAGATCTACTTAAGATTATTTAAGATTCTATTAGACTTGATAGGATTATTCTTGTATTTCTACTTACTTTTTACAACTAAGCACTTGGTATATTCTCAAGCAAGAACACATGTAATATAATAATGTACATAATAGTTATTTAAGAATCTTATAAATGTAATACAAAAGTTTAACATCTATAAAAACTAGGATAAAGAATCAAGTAATTATTTGCTATAAAATAAAATAAATTTAATGAAGATTATATTCTACCTTTTATTCTTATTTGTAGCTTTATTATATTTATGGCATTTAGAATATAAAAAATCAACAAATAATAGATTTAATTTAAGCTCTATATTATCTAAATTATTAGACAAGATATTAAGATTTTTATAGCCTTTAAGTCAATAAAATAGAAATCTAAACCTTTAAGAATGACATATTCAACCTCAAATAGATGGTGAAATATAATATATTTGATATCACAATCTTAAAAGAAACTTTTGATGTTTGGTAATATTATTCAAATAAGAATCACTCTTAATAGTATTTCAAATATTTAATTTGAATAAAGTTATAAAAGCATCAAAAATGATCAAATCATAAGGTGATATTTTTATCCTCGTTTAAAATACTATTAGTGGCTGAGAAGACATATCAAATATCTTTAAAGAGAACAATGATTAAAGTATGTAGCAAATATAATTTGTTGCATCTTTAACTTCATCAATATGTGATCTTTATTCTTTGTAGAACTTATTTTTAGAAGAGGAAGTAATATCCTAAACGTAATTTATACTAATCATTATGTAGATAAGTTAAATTAAGTAGAAATAAATAAAAATAAATAAATTATTTAACATCTTATAGAGAAGATTTTTAGAAGCTTTATAGATGGAGATTTGATTTTATACATATTTGTACATGATTGGTAGGTTAAAAACTTGGCCAACAATTTGTCTGCATGATGCACATATAAAAAAACTTGCCTTACAAGTTAGACACAACTTGGAAAGCTTGTAGAATATTGTTACATAGCTTATAGTTAGACAGTATATTTAGAGACAAGAATGAAACCTTCTTTATCTTGTCAACTTTTTTCTTGCTTTTAATCCATTTCAAGAATTTTTAGTTTTTTAATCTTTAACAATAGCCATTCTTGTTTCTTCTTGAATCTATATATATATATATATATATATATATATATATATATATATATATTCTTATTTATTTTTTATTATCTATCTTTGATATAAATATTAATTTTTTATATTTTTTAAGTTATTATTTTTGATACCTAAAAAATACTTTTTAAATCATCATAATTTGTATTAATTACAAGAATCTTAAATATTTTATATCAACTTATATATTATATTATTAACAAGCTCCTTGGAGCATGTCCTTGGATATAATAATAGAATAGAATTTACTTCAAGTAATTTTTGGTAGCTTCAAATATAAAAAGAAGTATAAGTATTTGTTGAATCATGTGTCACTTATTCTAAAGTAATGATATTAATTATTATTATAGACTTCCAAATGACATCATATCTATTCAATGGTTTCAATTCATATCAAGCTTTTAGATGGAATTCTTTGACATATTACAAATTAATATAAAGTTATTTTTAGCTTTTTATTCTTAAATTAATAAAAAAAATATAAGGTATAAATTAAATATTTAAACAATACTTGTGATATATCATCAACTACTACCTAAATAATTTTACAACTTTCTTATTATTAATAAAGTTTTCATATAATAATAAAATACATTTTTTTATTCAAAAAATACTATTTTTTTATCAATTATTGTTTTTATCTACGTATTAATGCTTTTGATATTTTTAAAGTTAAAAATCTAAAAAAAAAAAATGTGTAATAAGTAGAATAAAAGAGATTTACACAAAAATAAAGATATACTTAAAAAAGGCAAAAGAAGGACAAAAAATTAATACATATGTTTGATACTACAATCTTGGAAGAGAATCTCAATGCTTAGTATTATTATTAGCAGTAGATACTATGTTATTAGAAGATAGCTATAAAGGCCTTAATAATAATTAAATACAAGGTGATCTTCTCTAAGTATAAAAAATTATTAATGGTTGAAAGAACCTATCAACTAACTTCATGATCTACTTTCTCTCTTTTGGTAGTATAAAATATATTATTATTTTTAGAATTTTATTATAATTCATGTCTATGATAAAATATATAATTATAAAATAGATTAAATATATTGTATTCTTATCTTTAAAATTATAAAATAAAAATAAAAATGTACCTTATATCTTCAAAAATTCAAATTTATATTTAATAAAATAATTTTTTTAATATGGATAGAAATAATTCCTGGATATGAATATAGATATAAAAAAAAAGTTTGAATTTAAGTGAATAAAATATATTTTGACCTATGTCTCTATGCATATGCCTTTTAAATTTCTTTTAAATTATCTTCTTCTTATCTTAATAATACTCACAATCCAATTTTATAACAATCAAAACTTGAGTTGTGATATAAACCTATAAATATGGTAAATTACCAATATAAATTAAAATATAAGAAAAATCTTATTTCTATAATCTAATTTTATTTATCAATTTTTAATTTATATTAATTATAAATTAATAATCAAACAAGAATCTAAAATTTGAAATTAAAATTTGATTTTTTATTACAATATTTAAATGACTCACAAAGTAAAAATAAATAAATAAATAAATAAATAAACATCTTAAATATAGAATGTGTATATATGTGCTCAATCATATGTACACATGCATATATGTAAATTTTTTCAAGTTTAGAGGGTCTTTATATTTAAAAAAACAAAATAAAAAGTCTCAACATTTAAATTTTTTGATTGATTGAAAGTGAGAAGTATCACTGAGTTAGCTTTTTACTTTGAAATATAAGCCTACAAGCTTTAAAAAGAAAAAAAATGAGGTAGAATGTATTTTTTATTTTTATTTTTTTTCCTATATTGCATGAATAGTGTTGTCTTTCAAATTATTTTTGAATCCATCTTAAGAAGTGGTTTTGTAAAAAAAATTAAAATTATTTTACAAAATGTTAAAAATAACCATTAAATAAAATAGAAGTCAAGCTTTTATACTTTTCATAATTGTTAAAATAAGAATATGATCTCAGATATTTAGACTTGCAGCAAAAAAAATGATTTTGTTTATTTCTTAACCTCTTCTTATTTGTTATTATATCCAAAGGCCAAGCCTTCTTAAGGCTTTTCTTCACCAAGCATGAGACTTTGGTAGGACTTTTGAACAATATCCTTTCAAAATGGACTTCTACATGTAAAGTCTTTGACATTAAATATGATACCAAAATGACTCACTACAAGCCTACAAGAAAGAACAAGTACAAAATGTTTATCTGATTCTTTCACTTAATAAAGATTGATGCATGCAATAATACATAATTGTTGAGGAGTAGTTAATTGTGCACTAAAATATGTTGAAAGAAAGTCATTTGGCATCACATGACACTTTTAAAACCCACAGCAAAAGCAATCTTGATTTTATCTTTAAAATTAACTTAACGATTTAATGTTTGTTTGGAAGCTTGTACAGTAACGAGTTTTAATTGCTGAGAACTGCAGCATGAAGTGCCGACACATAGCATCATTGTCTCAATTAACATATCGATATGAATTCTTGCTTCATGCGTAGACAAATGTAAGTTAATTATATTAGATAACATTGAACTTCTAGCAAGCCTAATGATTATTATCACTGATATTTTTAGTGTGAGGTGATAAGAACAGATCACTTTACATTGTATGAATGAACTAGGTATGCCAATTCATGTTTAAGATTCACAAGAATGCACCGGTAGAACAAAGGTAAATGACATTTGCCCCACGCTCAGTTTTCACTTACACAGGAGACATATTGGTATTGCACTTAACAGCATCCCAAATTATCGTTAGATGCTCAATTAACATTATTTCATTAACTGAGACAGCACAAGAGTAATGAAACCAATCATACGTGTCTATTTTCTGGACTCGAGATAAGAATTAGCAACAAAAACCAGCAATCAATTGACGTGAGCGCACGCCGTGCAGACTCGGGCTCTACAGAAGGGGGTAAAATTCATAATTGGAACAAAAAGGATTGACTCAAGAAACATTATGTGGTGGTGCTCTCTCAATTGAGATTGAATAATAACCTAAACAAAATGGCAGATACTAATCAAAGCTGTTCAAAAAAGTGGGGGATTCATATCCTCTACAAGCCCATCCCAAAGGGGTAATAACGTGCCCAAAGCAAGTAGTAACACTATCACGAAGCCTATTTTCCTAATTGTCCCCACTTCAGTGACATCATTTAAGCAGGACTTCTCTTGATCTCTCTGCAAAAACAACAAAAGCAACATTACGTGTTCAGAACAACATTTGCAATGATTTGCACTGCGGCGATAATAAAACCATGACAAACAGCACTGAAAACACGAAACAGAAGCAGATTTCATTTTGTGATACCCTAAATTCGCCATGATTACTGTCATGCACTTCAATACAACCAAAGAAAGAAAGAAGAAAGAGGTGAAAATGTGCACTGTACTTGAAGAATGAGTATATATAAACCCCATGGCAATGACAGATCTCCTCCAAGCTGCAAACACACAAATACAACGCGAGGTATGAGTCCATACAGTACCCCGAACAAGATGTAATCGATGCACTCGACACTCATTTTATATACAATTTGATCGCTAAGTAAGCAGAGATTTCAGGAGGATAGGGGACATACCAACCCAAGTCCGAGCATCAAATAGGTGAAGAAGCCAGAAACATTCAATGATCTTTTTCCAAACGCTGCCTGCACAACTCAATTAAGCAGAAGCAATGGGTGAGGCCTACTGTTACAACTGGAAAATCATTTCAAAGTGAGGATCGCTTCATTATTCGGTCCGAAACAGACTAATTAATATTTTTCCTCTAAAAAGGGGGAAATGCGTTGGAGGGATGAAAGTACACTGAACATTTCAAAACCGAACTACTGAGCACCAGCTTGCTAAAAAGATCTTCTGATCGACGAGATCGAGCTTGGACAGATGTGTCTTGATAATAATGTTGACAGTAAACATAATCTTCCGATTAGTAGTTTTGGACAAATTATTCAGACAAAACCACGAGTTCTGCCCTAGGGCTATGTAGATAAGCATCCCACCTGCATTGCACGGCCACCATCAAGAGATCCTACAGGCATCAGATTGAAGGCAGTCGTAGTTAACCCGCACCTGCAACCAAAAGCCATCAAACATGAGAAACTATCAGGTCTTGCTTGTTCCGAAGTTAACACTTCAAATCAAATGGAAAATCTCAAGCAATTACAGAAACACAAATTGAGAAATAGCATTGAATGAGCACTTAGTAGAAACATAAAAGTTAACTCCGCTCTTACCAGCCCGCGATTACAAGAGGATGTATAGAAACTAATGCAGCTCGCATGGCACTGCAACAAATCAATGAAGTTGTTGTAAGCTGTTTATATACAAGATTGTAGAATCTTTAAAACTAAATGTGATAAAACACGCAGCGATTGACAAGTAAGTCTGACTCTATGAACCTCAGAACAGAACACAATAGTCTAGGGAAACAAACATGGGATTATCAGTCAAAGACTGTCATTTAAGAGAGCTAGGAAACTATATCCATGTTGCACCAATCAAGAGACTTACCTGTCGCCCAAGACTGCTCGGGTGGCACTTCCCAAAAGTAGAGAACCTCGAAACAACACGCTCGGCACTTGTACAAGATCACCAGTGGCCTGAGGGTTGACCGATAACGAAAGCCCTGCACTCAGCATTGAAAGCGACAGAAGTCCCCCTGCAATAGGGCCTGCTACTGAAATGTCAAATTTTGCCATCCTGTCCGGCAAGATAGATTTGAACTGCAAACATAGTTTACTTAGATCAGTTCAAATTAGTTCATAACAAGGCAACCCATGTTGGAAAATTGAAATACTTGTAATTTAAATTTTTTTCCTACTCCCCGTCAACACACGATCTTTCTGTAATGGAAGTGCCAAAAAATAGATTATTCGGGGAATGACTACACAGTAAACCAACAGTCAGGCATAACTCTTAGCAAAACCACAAATATTGTAATCCAAGAATAACCCAATAGGAGAAATAGATGGAATGGCAGGTATACTGTTATCTATAGAAAAATCGTGAATACTAGATACGTGAAATTAAATCGGGAAATTAAAGATAGATAAAACGTGGCAAAATTGTCCCTTCAGAATAAATCAACTGAATGAGGCATTTGAATCAGACGCAATAAAGATACCTGGGTGATTGCCCCAAAACTGCCCAAGGTGATGTTGGGAGTAAAATAGGGTATGCTCATCTTCACTCCTCTGGGTGCTGCTGCTAGCCAATGTCCTACCTCCTGAAATGCAGGCACTAACAATTGCTTTATTTGATGTCAAAAAAAGAAACTCAGTGAATTTCTACAATTGCCATTTATAAACATACTAAAGTTGCTGATTTGAATCTGAAAGAGATCAAACATAAAATCTGTAAGGTATAAGTCAAGCAGGAGGATTCTAAAAGATAGCTGAGACACTAGGGCAAAACAGTGTGCACCATCTCCACAGAAAACTAGATTGTCATTCTATTCACTGAATGCTTGGGAAAACTTTGGTCAAAATATCAGGTATACTTGAATGCCAGTTGGTCGCAAGATGAGAAGTGTGAACAAATTGGAAAGATAAACTTGAAATGAGGAGAAATAGATCGATTATTGCACATACATGGAAGAGCTGAACACCAAAAACTCCGTACGCGAGTGGAAGCGCGGAGTCTACAAATGGAACCAACAGTTGAAAATCAGGTGGTTCTATTGACTCTGGATTCGTGAAGTATTGCACAACGTTAGGTGGAAGTCTTGATAACTGCATACCACATTCCAACTCATTCAGCAGCTAAACCCAAAAAAGTATATCCAATTTGTATTTACAAGGACCAGACTACCGCATAACTGCAAACCACGCCGGAAACACGCATCCATAACCAACACTCCCGATTCCTCCTCCTTCTCTGGTATTTCCCAAAGATTATTCAAAGTTGGTGGAGGCCAAGAACTTGCCTGCGATGCGATCCCGAGCTCAAGACAGGAACCAGCTGTGAAGGCGAACAATACCACAGCTACAACATACTGCCAAAGTGTGGTCGGACCCGGATCTGAAACCTCTTTCCTAAGCAAGACAAAACTAACTCTAGGTCCACCTCTGGGATCCGGCTCTTCAGCATTTGGTTCCTCCACCATGAATAGATCATACTTTGATCCAAACAACTCCCTCACACCACTTGTCAACTTCGCAAATACTTCTTCTCGTTTCCCTCTCAAATTACCCAGCAGAAGCACACCTTCGCCTAAATCTCCGAAGGGCTCTTGCCCAGTCACCCAGAATGTTTTGTAACCACACAGCTTTTCTTTTAAAAGTTTGACATCCTCCGAATCCACTTTCTCAGGGCCAATGAGCTCCAACAACTTAAAGGCATCTAATTGCACGTCGACTGGTACGGTTTTGGGCACATCATCTGCCTGCGACCAACGTCTTTCAGAAATTCACTCCTTCTACATTGGTATAGCAGTAAACACAATCTACAACACAAAGAGCAGAAATCGTATCATTTGAAACATAAGTTACTCTCCAAACAGAGTGTTAAGGTGGAACTTAATGATGTGATAGGATATATGTTCGACAATGGGATGCTCAATTGGGAGAGAAATTTTTTGATAAGATATATTCAGACAAGATAATCACACAGCGTCCTGATCACTCCCACAGAATAAGAGAAGGATGTGGTAAATGAAGAAAACTGAGGCATATGCAGTTAGAGAAATTGGAGGAAATCGAGATGCAAAATAGAAGAGAGCTACACGACGAGAATGTAGACGAGACACAAAATCGGCTCACGTACGGGGTTCGATGTGGCAGGAGATGACGAGTCTGAGGAGGAGTTTGGGTCTTTCTCCGGCTCCTCTGTCGCAGTAGAGGTAGGATTATCGCCTCCTTTCTCTCCTCCTCCATCTTCCGTCGATTTGGGAATCCTAAAACCATGCGTTCTTCCGCCTCCGCTCTTCAAGCCAAATCTGACCTTGCAGAATGTGTCATTGGTGGAGCTGAAGTGACAATTACCCAAAGAGTTTGAGCTTGTACTCGCCGCACCAACATTACATCTTTTTTGAGGGACTCTTCCATGGAATTCAGGTTCTAAGAAACTAGCAGGGCCTCTAGCGGTAACAGGGAGGGATCCCACATGGGGAAGAGGGTGGAAGCGTAGATGCGGAGTATTGTCAACACGCCGCAGGAGACTACCCCTTGATAAAGGGGATGCAGTCCCTATACTTGTCATTTGAATTCCGCCTAAGCCACCCTTATAATCCCTCTTCCCTCCCAAACCCCACAACAATCAAAAATCGATCCCTGGCTCGCAGATGCAACTCGTCACGGAGCAGAAGTCTCAGCTTCTTCTTCTCAAACCCACAACCCTAGGTTTGGAAATCAATGCCAGCACTGATCAGCATTCACCTAAATTCTCTAAGAGTTGACACCTACTGGTGGCATTGAAACGAAGACAACCGGACTCGTAATCCTGCGAGAAACACGACGGAAGCCAAATTGTGATGGAGTGAAGGTCCAAGCGGAGGCGAGAAGAGTGGCCAAGGGAAAAAGAGAGGATAGCCCTCTGGTACCACCTGGATAATTTTCAAAAATAGAATAATAAACCCCCTAAAAATAACATTGTATTCGATATTTTTACTGGGACAGTGGCTTGCCGTCGTCACGCAGGTCTGTTCTCATCCTTCCCACCATTATCATCACATCTCCGTCAACACAATTCCCTTGTCAAAAGTAATGTGGCCAGCACATGCGCATCGAATCTCCTCATAGATATTACCCTATTTCGAGTTAAACTTTTTCCATCTCAGAGTTCTGAAAGTCTGGAAGTAGTACAGAGTCAACTGGAAGTAGTACAGAGGCAACTGGGTCCCTGCAAGAAATAGTTAAACTACTATCCAACTGATCATTGACATTGCGGCGTTCGAAGTGCCGGTGCGTCTCTCGAGGAAGCGTCGGTACAAACGGTGCTTGTCGACCTTGGAGGCGAAGACTGTATATACTGCAGATCATTGCCCACGAGTCTGAAGCCTTGATTAAATGCAACCGTTGTCGGAAGTCGAAAGTCTAGAGCGTGGCATTTGTAAAACCCATTACTGAGCAGATCTCACTTGCCACATGTGATAACCAACGCGGGTCTAGAGCTATATCACGTCTCTGGTGCGATGATCGATTCTAAGCTAGTCGCATCTTAGCAACGTAAGACTCCGCGCCAGGGCCAACTACGCATGACCCTGCTCCACCGAACAGCGGGTTTTCGTTGTTCAGACACAGAACACGTGCACTGCAACGCGTAATGCGAGGACGTGCGCCGCAAGAAGCGAGAAAAAGCAACCGAAACACGACTTAGGGTTCGCATGCCAGGGCAACCGCCATGACAAGCTCCGACAGGCGGCCGAAACGACGCAGATGGAAGAGGCAGATTGGGGTCAAATCCAGATGAGAGTGGGAGAGGGGGCAATCAGTCACGGTCTCGCAATGGAGTATAGAGATCCAGTCTATCCGCATTAGCACGAATCCTCACGCGCGCTGTGATGCGTGACCCTGGCATGCCACGTTTAGGATGCGTATATATTCCTGTGGGGACAGGTCGATGGGCACGTTTCTCCAGCTTTGACTGCTACCTTTACGAGGCAGGGCAAACAGCATTGTGTCAGCCCCTCCATGAGCTTCACCACCTCCGCCACAAAGCGTTCATAGCACAGCGCTCCAGCTTTCTCTTCACCCTCTTTGTCTGCTTCTTCTCTCTTTGAGGAGCCGCAGCGCTAGTTTCTAAGCGATCCTTTTCCACACATTTGCATGCAAATTGTTTCCATTCCCACTCTCTTTGGTCGCAGATACGAGAGCAAATTCTCTTTCTTTTTACAATTTAAAATGGCGAACTGTCTACATGATTGACACCGTGTGTGGTTGAGATTGATGTTGATTACGCATGAAGATGTCAATTCAGCAATTGGCCAGAAAATTTTGATCCATGAGAGTTAAATTCAAAGTAAATAGAATAGAAGTGAAATAAAGGATACTGAAAGGTTGTAGTACTATGAAATTTAGAGCGGAAAAGTTCCATCAGATGGACAATTTGCTGAAGATTTGGAAGATGATGTTGGAGATCAACGTTCTTCTTAAACTGTTCGCTGTGGAGAAGTTGATGAAGCACAAAGTGGTGTTTTACGTAGTTAGAGTGCAATCTTCATGCTTATTGATTCGTTCGTTTGTGACATTGAGACGTATTGTTGAATAATTCAACATGATATTTCAATCCTCAAGCACATGGGTATAATTGAAGTCCACAATAAAACTGATACTACATTTGCTTCTCATGATTTTCATTTTCTCGCGCTCTCTCTCTCTACCTCTCTCTCTAGATATGTATACTTACACACACACGCACTTTAATGTATGTAACAACAAAATGCAAGAAAGTTTGCTATCATAATAGGGCAGGCCATACAATATTAGCAAGCAGATGCTGAAACACACAAGTGAAGCATGACATTCGAAGTACCATTGTGTGATTTGAAGCAAAGTGAACAAATTTGTATAATAATTTATGATTCGGAGAGCAGTTTCTAGCATATTTCCTTGTTGGAGACTTGGAAGAAAACTTGTTATAACACACTTTTCAAGAGCATGGGCACATGAGTTTTTCAGCGTCGTCTCCGTGATCTCTTTCAATGCTGTTCTCGACTCTCCGCAATTGAAGTCTAGCAGCATCCTGTGACGCTGGTGGTTTCGACACCGTTTTCTCGATCCAATCAGAGGTTTGTCGAGAGAGACGTATTGGAGCACCCACATTTATCACGGTGAACAGCAAGCAGCTGAGTGCAACATAATTACGTGTACAGGATGGCAGATGTCCTCGCAAGGTTTATTGCGGCCAAGGAAGAAAGGAGGGATTAAAAAAAGAAGCAAAAACAACCATGTCTAACAAACTGCCACCAAAATTACTTTGCTAACAGCCTGGCACGAAAAGAAAGCCTGAAAAGAGATACCGCACACTTTTACTGGGGCCCTCTAATCCTTTGAGGAAGCATCGACAGGGCAGCAAACAACACGAGGGAGAAAAAATGCCCAAGTAATCGTCTGCGGGGACGATGGAGCATAGCGTGCACATTATTCCTGCAGAGGGGATTATACAAGACTTCAAACATTCCGAAAACCTAAGTTTATGGGAAGGAGAGCACAGCTATTTCCTATGATTTCATGGTAGCACTCCAGTAATCCTTCACCGGATGGAAAGTGTGAGCAAGATGAACATGAGCAGTGTCCACTATCAAAACGGGTCACAAAAGCGATGAGAGCATCACAAGCGTGGGGGGTAGAGAGTGGGATCTATGCGCAAGGACCTAGTTCCGCAGAGATGACATGCATGGGGTACTCGGAAGAATTTGCGTATTCGAAGGCCACACTGCCGCCAGCGCGCAACGGCGCGCCACCCATCACCAGACAGTCGTTGTACTTGATGCGCTGGAAGACGTGGGAATCAAGCGGTCGAGCAGAAGCAAACGCCGCGCACGCCACATGGATATTCTTCAGCTGGCAGTTGTGGTTCACGCACAAGTTAGTGATCTGCACGCTAAAGGCTGGAATGCCGTTGCTGTTGCCACTCTTCCCCTGAGTGATGCTTATGTCTGCCTTGGTACAAGAAGGTGTCGATGCGCGAAGCTTTCTGTTGACATAGGTTTGTGGATGCTTCACAGAGACCGCAGCAGTTAATCCTAATCCCAGCTCTCCTCCCTCGACAGTGTGCAACAAACAGTTACCGAGAAGCATGAAACTACAGAGCCAAAGATAGAACCTAGTCTTCAACGCCATAGCTGTGCCTGAACTTGACAGCTCAATGCTGGACAATCTGACAGTGGAAGCTCGTGAAACCTACAGTCATAAGGTGAGAGACGAGTCATGCCAGAACCCAGAGCTCGGTGATGGATGCAAAAGGCCACGCAGCTTCAAAACATAAGCCATACAAACATGATGACAGCTCCAACCCAGAAAAATGCCGCCCCTCGAGTGTAGACTATCTGCACCTCGACTGTTTGCCATCGAGTGCTTGTACCGCACACATTACAATGTACCACTGCACAGCTAGCTACACAAAAACTTCAACGTCGACGTCTACAAAGTCGTGACCTCTAAGACTTCCCTGGAGCACTCACAAATTCTCACAGCCTAGCTTACGTTTCACCGATCTCCATCGCTTCATTCTCGTCGCTACACCCGCGAGCTGGCTTCACAAGCACGGTGGGGCACATACAACACCAAATTGGGTGTGATTGCCGCCGTTGAGACATCCTAGTGTGGGCTGCACAAGCTTCAATCAAATGAGATCAAAGCCAATTATACCCTCAAGAAGATCGGACAATTTCAATGACGGCAAACCAAACCTTGCAGGGAAACGTCTAAAAGAGAATGCAAACTACTAAGCAAGATACTATGAATCCAAATTTAGAAAAGATCTGACAACAGCTCCCTCTGGTTACTAGGTGGAGCTATCGACACTGTCCAGGGTGAGTCAATCAAAGACTTTGTGTACTCGTGCAGAGCTGTGAGCTAGTCTTCACAGGACTCGCAAGTTTCAGCAAATTATCACAACACTAATTAGATAGATCATCTACTACATTCTCCCTGACCAAACCTGCGATATTCTGCTCTGACAAACCTCTGCACCCTGTATCTCCATGTCCATGAGTCAATTAATGAGCTCCAGTCATAATGGGTGTACTCCAGAGTGACAGAAGAGGGCTCAGAGATGGTCGTTTGAGGGACACCCGCATAGTGTGAGCGCCACCGTAGTAAATGGGAGGCCTCAATCTGGAAGCTTAAACTAGTTGGTACACTCCAAACTTCCAGAACATTCCGTTTGACATGTGTGAAATTACTGCAGCATAACACTAGGGTTACCTTGGGGAAGAAGACACCCATCTGAATTTTAGGGTTAATAATAGTAAGACAGAGCAGCAAATGAGGACCAGATTGTCCTAAGATACCGGAAATTAAAAAACATATGTGTGGCTGCAATGAGGTAAAGAATGAAAGCAGGTACACGTCTGCACGAAGCCATTAACGGTTGCAGGGTGTGTACCTGCACATATGGCTTCCGTGTCGTTGCAGGATCTGGGGCCCTTCTGGAGGTGCGTCGATTTAGGTAAATATTGAGGACAGTCAGGTACTTGCAAGTGGGAAGAAATGGGTCCACTTCAATCTTAGAGGATGACAAAGCGTAACACATCAACGCTGAGAGTTGTTGACATGAGACAACAGACAGATTCATGAAAGATTCAGCATCCGTATATTGTCGATCAAAATGACATGGCGCCGTAATTAACATACTACACCTCTCCTGGTCTGTGCCAAGACAGCATGGACACTGGTGCAATTACAGTGAGGTGGAAAAGTGTCTGTGGTCTACTACGCTAGAATCTCAGATATACAAAACGCTTGCCCCAAACACTTATTTAAGTGCTACTCATGAAGCTTCATTACTCGAGGTATAAGAACCCCAATGCCTACTAGTACATCCTAACAAAATACAAAAGTAGGACTCGTAGATGTGATGGTAGATTGCCCGATAATACTCGAAATGAGTTGTACTTGGTGAGTGAGAAGCACTCTCAAAATCCAAGAGCTCTTCATCCGACATATGAGTGTCCAGGGGCTCATCACCACAAATTGGACGCTCCAAATTGGACACTTGATGGCACATTCTTGAACAGTGGTAGACTAATCCAAAAACGGGTTGTGTTTCAACACCATGCTGTACTAATGGACAGAGTATGAACGACATCAAGGTATGCATGGTCATGGCTGCTTAACATTGACACAGCACGTCCATCAGTTTGCAGCACTCATTGACGCAAGTGAGGGCCGTGTCGGATAAAGTAAAGAATCGGAGACAAGACCAAGCAAATAAGAGCAATTGTGATGGCTAAAGCTTCACGGTTCTCCATGTTTTGGATTCTCACCCTGCATAGAGGATCAACCCAAGAACAGAACTCAACATGTAAGCTTTACATGGAAATAAGTCACAACAGTTCTACAATTGGATACTATAAGCTACGATCTATCTGGACAGGAATTCTAGGAACTCACAGGACGTAGCTCTCCTTAACTCAAGCATGTATCAACCCTCTGTGGCTCAGTGTAAGATCAATTACCTCATCAATTCCATATCATTCTGGAGAGCATCAAACTTTGAACTTAGTCTAGCGTTTAAGGCTTCGTTCTCTGCCTCTCGCCTCAGTTCCTGCAGTTCATTTACCACCATGAGCATAACAATCCACAAACCTAATATCCCGTAAAGCTTAGATTCACCTGTCGTGTGAAATCAATCAAGCTAAGAAAGGCCAAAAACGTACTAATGCTTGTCAGACAACTGGGGACTTCAGCAGTTGTGGATACTATGATATTTATCCGATGGTAAGAACAGAGACTTAATATAATAGTGAAATAGTGTACCTACGTGCAGCAGATACAAGATAGCAACACTAAAGACTGAACCCTTAATAGTACTACAAACGTGAATCACGAGAACATGAATTGCCATGATACTGTAAATTGACATGCCAGCATCCATCCGCAAGTGCACCAAACAACTGACTAGAACCCTTAATAGAAATTAGAAAAACTTGAGAAGAAACGCCAATCTTTAAAAACTTACGATTTCCTGTAAATGAGCCACAAGCGTGGCAGCAATAGCGGTCTCATTTCTTAACTGGGCCGCAACACCAGCAAGGTCATTGTCAATGTCGGCAAACATTTCTTTGTATTTCTCATATAGTTCACCGATATAACTGTCGAGCAGCGAATGATTGAGCTCCAACTGCTTCACCTTCTGCATCAGTATTTTCAACACAGATTCTCCAGACGGTCGGCCTGATAAATGTAGCCACGCCTCCGGAGGACCCCCATTGACTCCCTTAGCTGCTTCTTTTTTCACTCTTTCCTCAGGACCAACGCTAATCCCACGTTCATCCTTCACCGGCTTTTCAAGAGGATCCATCAAAGTATCTAAGGAATCCAGGTCATTATCAGAATCATTTGCTTTCAAAGATGCTGTTTCACCTTTGTCGGAGATACTTTCACCAGCTCTACCACCATTCCCCATACCCGATGTCCCATTAGGTATAATACGTCGAACGCCTTTACCAAGATCAACGTCGTCTCCAACAATCCAATCCTCCAAGAGATGCTCAATAGCATCAACTCCATGAATTTGTAAGAGAGTCAATGTGCAATAAAACTCTGAGCCATAATGCGATAGCAAGCGCAGCTTCAAGGTGCGTACCCACTTCGGCTCTGGAAGCGTGAAGTTTTGTATGTGACGGACGTTTTCAGCTTCAAAATTCCCAAGAGATATCCAATCATCTGTTGGATAAACCTCAGGACTACCAAGTAGCTCGAAATTCTTCACATTAGAGGAATGATATTCGAGATTACCTATTATGATAGTGTCAACAAGTGTTTCTTCTGCCAGTTCGACAACAATATGCTTGTCCTCAGCACTGCATGGATTGCGTAAGTACTTATCTTTGTCTGGGACCAAAAGATTTGAAGCTCCTTTCGCATCCTTGTTAGAGGCAACTACTTTTGCACCATGTGAAACATCAGCATAATTGAATCTCCCTTCCTGATTTTGATGTTGGAGATGATGAAGACTACCACTCCCATTCACCGTACGCCGTTTCTCAATGACTGCTTTCTTGTACTCATCCAAGCTCTTCACCTGCACTACCCGAGATGGCCGACTCACCTCCTGCTGAATCTCAACAAGCTCATCGAACTTCACTATTTCCTCGCTCACATCTTCATTTGCAAGAGTTTGAGTAACAATGTCAAACGAAATCTCAGGAACCTCAGATGGTTCTTCCAGTGAGGGTGCATCACTGATCTGGAGTTCGTCAACTGAGGATGCTTTGCTGAGAAGGCTTCCAGAAAACGAGATCCTGGAAGCATCAGCATTTGATTCTTCAACCAAGGATGGGCTACAAGGGCAAACCCGAGCTGCTGATTGAGTCAGATAGTCGAGTGTAGACACTTGGCACAGTGGCTCACAAACAACTGAACCTGTCCCAAGATTCCTTCGACAGACCAAATACTGTTGGTTTATTTGAATGGCGGAACTTAATTCAGCTTCTGAGTCGCTCGATGATGGCAAGCTTTCTTGAGTAGGACAAATCTGATCCAGAGATGGTAATTCAGAAACCCATGAAACCGTGCCATCCGGTGAGCCCTGCGATGAGAAGGCATCACCATCGCTACTATGTCTCAGACAATCAGCGCCCGTTTCACCTACCAAGCAAAGCTTCAGAGGCTCCCCAACGCTTGAACTCCAAGGTAGAGAAATAATTACATCTCCCAAAGAGGAAGATTCTTCATCGGAGCTGGAGGGTGAAGGAGATTCCACAGGGAGAAAATGATCGGCCTCCTCTGCTACAGAACTTGCCGATGCGAAAAATGACATGTACTTCCTCGATGCAGAAAAACTCTCATGGGAATTTCTACTCCCATCACCAGCATAGATGCTTTTTAGGCAGCCACCATTTCCGATCACCGCACTTCCATTGAAGATCAAGCAGGTATCTGCATCGAGGTGCGCTGTGTCGTTCAGATGGCACCTCTGTCCACTCGACTGAGAGGCAAACCATTTCCTAGAATGCAATTCTTTTGTTTTCGATAATGAAAATGGCGACACCCAGTTCTTTGACACAAGGGGCGTGAAATGAGATAATCCTGCATCCAAGTCCAAGTCAGGAAAAGTGAACAAAAAAATTCACCGACCTTACAACATAGAATCAAAATAGGGTTGACAACATCAATGCCTACATAGACCACAATGATGCAACGTGGTTATATACTATTTTCTCAGAGATGCTGAGCCATTATTTCTGTGGTCTCCAACAAAATCGCCGGGCATTTTTACTCTTCTCTGTCTTACACCTGTGCAATTATCAGACGCTCGCACAAATCTCTAGTCCAGGGTTCAGGGTGTAAAACTTCTAGAAAATTATTCAACCAATATCCCACACAGCGCGAATCGGCGTGCTGTATCGTTGAGACAGTAATTTGATTGTAATGGTAATCCCTGCAGGATAAAACAGAGCTACCCAGACATCAAGCAGAAATTTTTCCATCTGAAGATAACAAGCACATCTCTGTGGAGAAACTAAAAATATATATAAGGCATTCTAAGATGGGTAACTACCTTATCGATATGTCCTACATCTAGATAATAGACGCACAAAAACGAATATAAATTGTGCAGCCTTCCACAAAATCACGAGGGGTGGTCTACAACACGGCAGGCAAAGATAACGGATGACTTCAAACGATGGAAGTATTGACACTCCATTCGGCTTCTCTCCATTTAATACAAAAGAAAAATAAAAATAAATAAAGAGAACAAAAAATCGGCAACGCTTACAGTTACAGTAAATCCAACCAACGATCAAATTGTGAAGCAACCAGGAGGCAAACCGAGTCGGCATAGAGTACCACTTCATACAAGCAGCGCCACTGACACATCAGACAGCTAAACACATACTTGGAGTCAAACATTGCAAACCACGAGGTACCACCTAATCGAAACTGTTGTACCACTGATCTCGAATTCCGGGTGAGATAACCGCGAGTACAAACTAAAATGCTGCCAACTCGCCCTTACCCCTGCAAGAACCCAATCGTACTCTCAAGTCCCCAAGACATTTAACCAGCTACAAAACGGAAACACAAGTCCAGCAATTACCTTCAAGATCTGGAAGCTTTACTATTGATGGTAGGGACGGGAAGAGAGAAAGGAAGAGAAACAGCGTGGCTGAGATTGAGACCACAGCGCACCACGAAATTCTGTAGCAGCCCTTTCTCTCCTTCCCCAGTTCTTGCAGCTGCTGCTGCTGCTGCAGATCCTTCTGAAACAAAGCAACTCCCTCACATCTCTCAATCCTCTCCACCTCCTTCCCCGCCGCCCTGTGATGCTTACTCTTCCCCCCCTTTTTCTGCATTGCTTACACTCCCATGTGCATCAGACCCTCAGCACCCCCCCACGCGACTCCGATCCCTCCCACCGCAAAACCTCCTGCCGGGATTCAAACACACCGCAAAACGAGCCACGAAATCTCACGGCGACCTTCGGCCGTCACTACCAGATCCGCCTCGCAGCGCGGCTACAGCACCAAGAACGCCGCGGAAGCACCCGAGCCACGCCCATTTGAACCGAACTCACTGCAACAAGTTGGAAATCCGCTATAATCCTACGTCGCAGATCGATCCGACCAGCCCCACCCCAGGCGCGCAATCGGCCGAGCAACTCTCTCTCTCAACGAAATGAAATTCTCGGCGCCTCAATAATTTGTCATGTTTCTTGAGCCATACGCTGGTCGTCTGTTTCCTCCAGAAAATCCACGAACAACGTAGATTCTAGGCCCTTGTTCAAAAAGCCGCCACCACAGCCTGTGCTTTGAACCCCGTAAATCTACGAATTGTGAAGAATCGCTTGAGCTGCACCCGTAGACCTTACGCGCGGGGTCACGTTGGAAAGCCTCGGATGCTTCTAAACTGGCCCGCTGTGGGTGGCTTCGTAAACCCACCCTGGTAAACAGCCTTATGTGTTGTGCTTTGGGTAGTTAATCGGAGAGAGCCGGGTTGGTCTCCCCGGCCCGGGCCCGGGCCCGGCCCCTTGCGCCTCCGTCCAATCATCTCATGCTGTTGACCGGTGACGTGGGTCTCACTGACGTGGCGAACTCGTTTGATTTCCGCCTACGGAGCTTTTTCAAGGAAACTACCAACCAATTCAAACTAACTAATCTGAAGTCCGCCGCGTTCACCATGTGGGATTTCATTCATTAACGAGAATTCGACCCCTTTTATCCTTATTTAATATTTTCTCATTACATCCAATTCTGTTATCTGCTCTTCAATAGAGAATTGTCAAGCTCATTACAAGAGCGTGTTCTCTCAACTGTATTAAAATTGTACAAGTTAAGAAACATGCCACGTATGATGTGTGTTTGAGGTACAACCACAACTCCAATAAAAACCGCAGACATAACAACAAGTATAAGAAAAAATAAAATGGAGCCGGTAAAATCCTGTGCACGTAGATCGATGAGCTGGCGGGGGACAACGGCGCTTATTACGTGGGCCACCCACTCTTCCCGCTCCACGTCAGACGCAGATCTGGAAGCCACAGCCATTCTGCGTTTCTTTGAGTTTGACACGTGTGATAAGTGCCACCTGGGGTGTCCGAGTTGGCAGGGGAGTTCTTCAGCGGAAGCAGCAGAGCAAGTGAGGATGCGGTCGGCTGTGCGCAGCTTGAGTGTTGGCCACCCAAATCTTCCTCTCCACGTCCACCTATTGCTTCACATGCTGGAGTGTGCTTAGACTCTAATTAGGAATTAGTGTTGCTGACGTGTAACATAATTTTATTCCTCCACCCAAGCCAAGATATTTCATTGTCTACCAACCAAAAGGCTTAAAGGGATGGCATCTGAGGAGGAGATATAGTAAAATTGTTTTGTCATATGTTAAAATATTATTGATTATGCTTTTATTTTGCACGGGATTTTGAGAGAAGAATACTTATATATTTTTTTATTTTTGACGATGGTTTGGAAAGGCCAAGATGGGATGGAGGTTGATAAATGGCGAAATACAGTGGTCTTCATGTTCAACTCTTATGAACCTACAATTCACTACGCATTTACCAACAGTCAATATTAACATGAGCAAATCTTCTTGAAACTACAATATTAACAGATTATTGCAGTGTGGATTCGGGTATTTGACACTGCATATTATCCATTATATTCAAAAATAAGTTCATATGTGTTGTAAGCTAAATTTGCAGTTTGTGTATTGTTTACAACGATGATACATTGACGCACATGAAGCATGCATTTTCTTACACCCTTATCTATCTATATATATATATATATATATATATATGTGTATGAAAGGAATAGAATAATGCCACAGAACATTGCACTTATGTTAAAAATTCTGCACTATAAAATTATGACACAACTTTTCCTAGGAATACAAACGTTGTAATTTAGAGAGTCTTGATGTTAGAGAAAAATAAACTTGGTTGAAAAATGAGCCCCAGAAGCTTTCAAAAATATTATTTTGAACGTGCCCAAAAATAGGAGAAAACCAGACAAAAATACTATCTAATCTAAAGAATATATATATATATATATATATACAGATATTTGCAAAATCTCGTGAATCTTTGGACTCGGTGGGTTGCACCAATTCTCATTTCAGGTCTGTATTCCCAGTCTGTCTTTTTTCTGGCATGCCAACTTCAGATCCCAATTCCTTTGAGACAGGGTTCCTTATGTTCTTCTCCTTTACTCAGACCATGAGAAATCATGTCGAGTGTTTGCTGGACCATCAATTTTGAGTATCTTGGGGTTTAAAATTTTCCTGAAATGTTTTCAAAACCTGTGTGGAGATATGTCAAGAAACATATCTCCACATTTTTTATTATTAAATTAATGTGAATGTAATGTTTTATCTTGTCTTATTTTCAAGATCATAAATGTCAATATTCTTGTTACACACTATAACTACATACATACATACATACATACATACATGAGTGTATATTCAGAGAATAAAACAAAAATCTTGAATGGGGCCATGATGCCCATTATTCGAAAGCCCAATACCACATAATTTAGCACTGCGAGTCATATTACTGTAATAAATGTTGGCAATAGTATCCAACAGAATTTTTTCAACAGTAAACTGGAATAACTGTAGAACGAAGTATTGAAGTAACTGATGATACTTGTGGTGAAACCCACGTGCCACTTGTCGGCCCCAAAAGATAGAATACAACAACCAACCTGGTGACGGGAACGGATGCTGGGGAACGAATGGTGGGGAACGGGTGGTTGGGAACGAATCCACACCATGAGCACAGTGTCCTAGATGTACACGTCAGCTTCTACTGGGTGGGAACCACTGCACTGACACCGGGGGAGCACCAATTAGATGTGACCTCACTCTGGCGTGGTATTTAAGGTCCCGCTGTCGTGACCTTTTATGCCAACTCAGCACTGCCACGTGTCAAAATATTGAACTGTCCAGCTCATCACCCACAGCTCGAGTCAGAGTCGTGTTCACACTATGGAACTAATGCGACCCGTTGAGTCTCCACGTATCACAGCATTAGGACCTGAACTTTAGTGTGAGCTTTTTTCATACTTTTAATTTATTAGGGAGATGTCGTTTTTTGTAATTTTTCTTCATGAAATCTAATCCTTAATGAAATGCAATAAATATTTGGACATGGACAGTGTGTTATATTTGTTGGTTAGATTAGTAACAAACAAATTTAGAGTTATTATGAGATTTTCATGTGTTGGTTTTATGTGTGTCTCTTTAGTCAATCTTTGTCAAGACCTTTGTTTGCTCGAGGTTCTATAGTTATTTATTTATTATATGATAAAATATTATTTAATATATATATATATATATATATATATATGAGTTTTAAATATTTAATACAAATTTACAACAAACCGTTGTTTCATTTTTTGATGCTAAACAACATTTTTTTAAAATTATGACTTTATATGTTGGAGAAAGTTTTTGGTTAACTTTTTTCTTAAATATACTTTTGTAATATAATTACTCAAAATTTGTTGCCAGTAGAATCAATTATTACACAAAATTACACAAAACTTATAATAATTGATTCTACTAGCAACAAATTGTAGACAAGTCCAAGTAGTTCAAGTGGAAGTTGTGCTTCTTGTTATGATTTAATTGTACAATTATATAATCAACATTTTTAATTTTAATTTTTTCTCTTCTTCTTCTTCAAAATACATTCTTAATTTCATTACATCAAGTATATAAAGTTATAATACAAAACAAAGTCTTTAAATCTTTAGCCTAAATATTCATTTTTATTTTATTATTATTATTATTTTTAGCTTCTTATGTCAATGTTCTATCTCACAATTCTTTTTCGATCGTTTTTTATTTATTTAAATATATTTTTTAAATATATTATATTAATCAATTTATTTTTATGCTATTTAAATAAATTCATATATATTCTAAAGTAAATAGCTAAAACAAAAGAAATCAAAATCATTAAGGCTTTAAATTTGAACAATGCATTTTCAAACTAGAATCAAAACCAAAATTTACATCGTATATGTATGTATTCATTTAAATAATTAAAAAATAATACATCAAAAAACTTCAAAACAGTTTATAATAAGGTTCTTTTGAATGTTTTTCCAAATGTATTAAACGAATATAATATCATTTTTACATGTTAACTTATTGGCTTTATTTATTTATTTGATGTATATATATATATATATATATATATATATATATATATATATTTGAAATAATTTCTTGTACAGTTATCAACCATATTTATTTACATTTTCTCAATGCAAAAATTTCAATAAAATTTCTAATCAATACATAAAGCTTATAAGTAAATTTGGATTTTTTTGATAGAAATGTGTAATGATTTGTTAAAGTTATCTACCAATCAAAGATAAAGAATATTTATGAAATCATTAACAAAATAATATAGACTTTTTCATGAAGTTTTAAATTTATATTATTTTTAGCACTGTTGCATTTTATAGTTGAAATTATTATTATTTTGTTATGTATCTGTATACTTATTTAGTTGGATAAAATGAATTAAAAATTATTACAAACCTAATTAACTTACTTAAGTACTGATGTTAACTATAAGCTAACAAACAAGAATGTTGCTTACATCTCAATCAATTGCATCAGTTTATACTAAATTACTTCATAGAAACAATAATAGAAATGTCAAATCTCTATTTTGTATGCCAAAAATTCCGTGATTATAAATAGATAAACCAATCAATGTTTATTCATGATATTTTTATATATAGATTATTAGGTATATACTTATAGAAATATAATTTGATTAATGAAAAATTAAAGCATATAGTTTTTTACTTTCCTAATTTGTTTATAAGGTTTTATACTTTTTATATCTTAAACTCTAAGTTCTGTAGTTTTTGTTTTTTTGTTAAATTCTTCATGGCCTTTATCAACAACAATGTTTTGTTACAAAAAAACAAGTTATCATACTGTAGATATAGAGAAACATTTTTTTTGTATTAAAAAAAAATATATTAACAAAATCTTGTGTGTTACACACCTACATGTGCATGTTTGATTAATTTTTCTCTATAAAAATAAAAATTGGGTATGTGTATAATATTGTAAAGATTGATATCAAGTTATTTTTATAATTAGTTGTTGTGCTATTTTTATGATTTAAATTATTTTCTTCTACATTATAATTATTTATTACCATGGATTATAAAATTTATTACTTTTAATATTTTTGTATAATTTACATACAGAGAATTCGTAAGTAAAAGAAATATTTATTAAACACTTTCGTTATCATTAAGACTTGTAGTATATCCAACCAATATTCCATTCTAGAATAAGTCCAAACAATATTTTTCAACAATTGTTTTTATTTTTGTAGTCACAATCATCTTGAGAGCATTGTAATCTTTAACTTACTCAAATCCAAGTGTGATTC